AGCTATTCTTAATTCACTATCATAAAAGAAGTTATAAGTACTTGCCCTGCTGACCTTATCTGAAGTAAATGGCCCAAGTGGTATAAAAACAAAGCAACTGTAAGTTGATGTCCACCTGCTTAATTAACTTTGAATTCTACTGGAAAATATGTTGATTGTCACATATGCTGTATTACTAATTTTAATCAAAATCAGCATTTTCTTTTAGGAATTAGTAGCCTCAGATGTACAAGTTAAAGGAATTCATCAAATTGTTTTTGTAATGGTGATTAAAATGCACATTCTGATTTCAAATAGATAACCTTTTTTTTTCCCTTCAAACTTTAGCCCCGAGAGCATGGGACTTCTTGATCCAGCCACCAGTGATGGGCGAGTCATTTTCTTCTTACCTTGGCAAAAGATGACAATAGCAGGCACTACCGATACCCCAACTGGTATCACACACCATCCTATTCCGTCGGAAGAAGATATCAACTTCATTTTGAATGAAGTCCGTAACTACCTGAGTTGTGATGTTGAAGGTAACTTGTGCAATCTTTTGTTTGCCTCCCTTGTCATGTGTCTGTGAAACTGCCCCAGCTCTCACTGGGAACAGCTGTGTCTCCAGGCTAATACATCTTCACACATGACCTTGCTGCAGCTCTTGAGGGCTACTTCCTTCTTTTAGAAGACCTCTGACGGTCAAATTTTAGAATGGTTGAATGTTGCTTTAAACTTTCTCTACCTTCTACATCCTCTTGTAACTCAAGCAATACCTTCTTGATGATTTCTGATGGCAAGATTGAAGTACCACACACAAGCGCTAGACATTGAATTTCTTCAGAAAGAGTAAAAAAAATATTGCAGCACAGTTTAATTCTTTGAGTTTGGGAAGATACCATTCAGAGATTACATGTGTCTTTTGGAAATCACTGAACAAAGAAATGGGAGGCTAAAGATACAGATAGTGTGTTACTATAGGAAAATAGAGTGTTGACTGGTGGATTGAGCGAGGCAGTGTAAGCATGCTTGTTTTGATTGAGCAAAACCAAAGTTTATTTCTTTCCTGTTCTTACCTGATTATTTAACTGTGTTGTCCTACATTTTTATAAGGGGACTTTAGAAGACCATGAAAATTTCTCACAAATACCTTAAAGCCACCTTTGATAATGATTTGTTTTCTCTGGCCTATTCTGAGAAGCTCCCGGATGATATCTTTTTCTTTTTGGTTTTTCAGATAATATCTGCCTCACTGCCCATACAGACACCTCAGTTAGAAATGACATGCTTATCTTTGTGGTATTTTAGTTTCTTGTTTTTCTCTCTCACCAGATCAAATCTAATATATATATTCTCACTTGGAAAATAGTATGTGAATATCTCCCACTTTAGTGCCCCGTTTCATACTTATGTCACTTGCCATGTGAATAGTTGCACTGGCCCCCAAATTACCTCCTTGTGTCCAACATCCATTTCCCACCTACTCTCATCCTACCCACAGAACTCTATTTCTACACAACAGTTCTGAATCATCAGTTCCATATATACAAGTATCCTTTTTATAGATCCCCATTGATTTAGGTAAACATTTAAACTGCTTTACATGTAATACAATAGTTTTTTATAACTTATTTCCATAGCATTATAGATTCAATTCCTCCTTCTTGGTGCTTTCTGTGGTCCAGGCATATACAAATGAGGGCGCACACATTTTTTCCACTAGGCGAGCATTGAGCAACTTGCATTGGATTAGTGCCCTCAGTGGCATTGTCTGGGAAGGTTCTCTCTGGTCACACTGAAATTTTTCGTGAAATCAGCTTTGCTTGAACCTTGTTTTTTGTGATGGCCAATTTAAGAGACCTGTGTGTAGCTGTGA